GTATGAGTTATTTTTTTCTAAACTAAAACATCAGTATTCAGATTCAATTTCAGTGTTGGCACTTCGAAATAAATAATTTGGTTTTGTGTCGCCGTTTGGGCACTCAGGCTCAAAAAGGTTAGCCATCATTGAGCTAGACTGATAATAACTAAGCAATCGAAATCAAAATCTGAATTTCAAATCAATGAACGGTATAATGAAATATGGAATATAGCCATAAATGATAACTTGTAATTTAAAAGTTAAGAAAGGAGAGTTGAAAAAGAATAATTCTTATGAAATATGGGGCAGATTTTTGGAATATGTGTTAACAAGAGGAAAACATAAAGCTACAAATCAAGAATCAATGCAGTTCTGGGGAAGAGAACAATAAAAGAAGAACACAGATGGAGGAAGAAGAAGACTGCTGCAAGAGCTCCCGTCTATGGTGATGGGGAACACAGTTAAATTGTAATTTGGTCTGTGTATTTTATGTTTGTTTATGTTATAGTTATAAATAAAAAAATTGAAAAAAAACTCTCAGTATTCAGGTTCCCTGGACTGCAACCTATCCATTCTAAAGGAAATCAACCCTCAGTGCTCACTGGAAGGACAGAACCTGAAGCTGAGTCTCCAATACTTTGGCCATCTCATTGGGAAGAGAAGACTCCCTGGAAACGACGCTGATGTTGGGAAAGTGTGAAGGCAAGAGGAGAAGGGGACGACCGAGGATGAGATGGTTGGACAGGGTCATGAAGTGACCAACATGAATTTGACCCAACTGGGAGGCAGTGGAAGACTGGAGGGCCTGGCGTGCTCTGGTCCATGGGGACACGACTAAACGACTAAACAACATTCAGGTTTAATTGCAGTGTTGGCACTTCAAAGTAAGTAAGTTAGTTTTGTGTTGCAGTTTGGGCACTCACGCTCAAAAAGGTCCGCCATCACTGAGACTACATTTAATTTTTTTTATCAATGATCTCTGACATTATATTCAATCACAACATTTCAGATTTAATACTTAGTTTTTGCTGTATAATTTCTTGTGACATTTCCCAAACTTGTAACCAAATTTGTTTTGCTTTTTCACATGACCACCATGCATGATAAGTCCCTGGATTTTTTTTTACATTTCCAACAAACATTGTTGATCCCTTCTGACATTTTTGCCAATCTTACCAGAGTAAAATGCCATCTATAAAACATTTTAAGAATGTTTTCTCTAAGATTAACTGCTTTAATCAACTTATAATTATCTTTCCACATTTTTGTCCACTCATCAATATCAATATTATAACCAAAGTTTTGTAAGCATTTGACCATCACCTCCTTCACCCTCTCATCTTCCAGGTCATACTCTAATAGATATGTATACATGCTTTTTTAATATTTTCTCTTTTGTGTAGATCCATAGTTCATCCACCTGAACTTTCCCCTCAAAAAAGCCCGTCATTTTATCCTTTTTATATCTTGATTCTAATTTCAACATTGACCACCAATCTGTTGATAAACCCAATTTCTCTAGGTCTTATTTATTTTTCTGAGTTTGACCTTTATTTAACAAGTCTTGTTTGTTTGTTTTTAAGTGTTGGAAAACATCCAGGAGTTATTTCTGAACTCGTACATATTTCTTTTACATTTCATCACTTTCCAGAGGATGAAGCCCTGCTGCAATATTTTTAAACTGTGCTAAACTAGGGCTATCCACCAGTTACAGTGGGGTCTCTACTTAAGAACTTAATCCATATTGGAAGGTGGTTCTCAAGTTGAAAAGTTCTTATGCTGAATCTGCATTTCCCATAGGAATGCATTGAAAACCATTTAATCCGTATCTGCTCTTTTCCGTCCATAGAAACTACAGTGGAACCTCTACTTAAGAACTTAATCCGTTTTGGAATGGTGTTCTTAAGTTGAAATGTTCTTAAGTTGAAGCAAAATTTCCCATAGGAATGGACTGAAAACCAATTAATCCGTTCTGGCTGTTTTTTTGTTATGTAGAGGTGCGTTCGTACATTGAAGCATTAGTTCCCATAGGAACTAATGCAAAGCTGGTTAATACGTACTCTACCACTAAGGGGAGAATTTTTTTTCACCTAAGATGACTTAAGGTTAAAAAAAGAGCAGAAAAGGGTTTTTTTCCTGTTCTTATCTTGGATTTCTGTTCTCAAGTAGAAGCAAAATTTAGCAAATAGAGCTGTTCTTAAGTTGGATTGTTCTTAAGTAGGGACGTTCTTAAGTAGAGACCCCACTGTAATGTGTTCAGATTCAATATCTCCTAATCTCCAGACTTGTGCATAATGTCTTTGGTGTAGGGCTGTCCACAACAGGCACGGGAGAGAATAAGAAGATATAACAGGTTCCACAGTCCCATCTGTACCAGCCAGTGCATTTTTGGGTTTCTGTGTGGGATTGTATCGGATTTGACTTTTCTTCTCTGTTTTTTTTGTGTGTGTTGTTCTAAGACAAACCAAAGAAATGAACACGTGAGTACCAAAACATTTGCAACTGCAACTATTTTCTGAGTGAAGGGTTGCATTTTCTGACAGAATTGCAAGGGTGCCAATATTTTTGGCCATGACTGTATTTGTCTGTATTCTTCCTTTATGACCTTGCTTTCTACTTCCCATATGTATCCCTTTTTATTCTCAGGTCTTCTCCATGAAGTCACATGGATCTTTTGTTATGTCTTCCATCTTTTTTTTTCTTGCTGGATTAGCTTACATTTCTGCCTTCAAAATTTCTTTTTTAAGAAACTCCCGCCTATCTTGGACTCCTTGTGCTGTTAGTCTCTCCTGCTATGAGATGTTGCTTATCATTGTCCTGAGTTCATTAAAACTGGTTTTCTTAAAATTCAGCATACATGTGTGGCTACACTCTGTTTTTATTTCCTTTGGAATCAAAAACTCAAGTAGAATACAGTCACTTTTTCCCAGAGTTCTCTTTACTGCCACTTTCACCAAGTCATTTCCATTGGTTAGAATCAAGTCAAGAATACCCAATCATCTACTTTTTTCCTCCACTTTTTGTAGGAGAAAATTATTGGCAACAGAAGCCAGTAATTTCTTGGAAGGACTATATTTGGCCGATTTTGCCTCTCAATCGTTATCAAGATAAGAGAAATCTCCCATTACTACTACACTGTGTCTCTTTGAAATTCTTACAATTTGTTTTTCAAAGGTTTCATCTGCATCTTCTCCATGACTGGGTAGTTGGTAGTAGACTCCAACTATCACATTCCTTTTGCTTTTCTCCCCAGTTATTAAAAATGGTTTCAAAGGACAACCAAGCTCATCCTCTCGTATTTCTGTGTGGGAATCTGTATTTTTAATAGAGTGCACCTCCACCTTCCTTTCTATTCTTTCTGAACCATTAATATCCTTCACGTACTGTATTCCATTCATTGGAATCATCCCACAAAGTTTCAGTTATCACTATCACGTCATATTCCTGAACTAAGATTTCCAGTTCTTCTTGTTTTTCCCCACATTCCTGGCATTCACATAGAGTCACCAGAGATTGTGTGATTTGTGATCTGCTTTCCTCTGTACATTTCAGAAGACTTTTCTTGGGATCCATTAGAACTGGTTGCTCTTTTCCTCTTATTGTGCATAAGCCTTCATCTGTCTTAACTTCCAAGTTTTCCTTCCTCTTTCAATTCAGTTTAAAGCCCTCATGAATGAAGTTCTTTATGCTGTGGCCAAACACATTCTTCCCTGTCCTTCTGAGGTACATCCCATCATGTGTCAGAAGTCCATCTTCCAGGAAGTATAGCCGCTGGTCCCAAAATCCAAATCTCTCCTTTTGGCACTACCTTCCTATCTAGTCATTCACTTGGAATACTTTCTCCTCGCTTTCTATTTCTTCTACGAGTACCGGTAGGATGGATGAAAAAACTATCTGAGTCCAAAGTCCTTGGGGTTCCTTTCCAGAGCTTCAAAGTCTGGTATGATTTCTTGGCTGTGTCATTTCTTCCCACATGGATTAGAAGAAAGGGACATGCATCCACGGGTTTTATGAGCGATGGCAATCCTTCTATCACATCCCTACTTCATCCTCTAGGGAGACACCACACCTAGTGGGTCTTGGAACTTTCCAGCATATTTCAGTTTCAGTCCCATGCAGTATGGAGTCTGCTACTACAATTACTCTTCTCTTCTTCTTTTTGTAGGGTGTGGGTTCCATCATTCTGTTTGGCTGAACTTCAGCCTCTCTTGTGTCCTCCCTCTCTTGTAAATCTTCCTCTGCATGCTGTCTGCCAGATTCCTCTTCAAGAACCTGAAAAGTGATTTTGCAGTTCCACTAGCGAAGAATGTCATCTTCTTATTTTGCCCCTAACAGCAACTCTTCTCCATGGTGCTTCCTCCACTATGTTTGTTCTCTCCTCAGCATTCTTCTCTGCTTTGTTTTGCTGTTCTTCCATCTCCAGTATGCCCTTCAGCGGCTGCTGCTCAAGAGTTCTGTCTACATACTCTTCAACTTCTTGCATAGCCTTAAGAGTGGCTACTCACTGCTCCAGTTCTTTCACTTTTTCTTCCTACAGTGTTATCTGTTTGCACTTACTGTAGGTGTACACTGTGTTGGTCTCCGGCATGAAGACAAACGTTGCACATACTTTGTAGATCACCACCATGGAAGTGTCTCTTCCCTCCATGATCCCTGCTACCTTTTTACTTTCTTCTGTTTGTCTATGAGTGCCATTTCCTTTGCCATATCTGCCTTGAGGGATGCTAGGAAAGTCCACTAATATAGAACTATATTCAGTAACCAGTCAAAATCCTATAAGCTCTTCCTGTTCATTTACTCTGGTCACACACTTCCTGGGGCCTGTCTCAGTTTTATTCATCCGCACATGCTCTACAAGGAGTCAGAAAACAGAAATAATCCTTCTGGAAAATCTAGAAGCCAGGACAACCAAAGGGCTAGAGGAAGGAGATATACCCCACAAGCCCTCTGAAAATTCATTGGGGGTGGGGCCTTTGCAGGTCCAAAGCAGACACTGTGAAAACACTGTTTCTACTCACACAGATCTCCCTTCTACATCTAGCTTGGTGGGGTTCACTCCCTTTTTGGCAAGGATAGAAGAGATCTTCTCCACATCACCCCTTTCAGCTGCTTTCATTAGTCGATCATCGTATTTGTTCCAGTCCGCAGTCAACTGTTTGAAGAAGACAGAAACAAATTTGTTTAATATGCAGTGATGAAAATTTATCAGAAATACTTGATAATGATTCCTCTTTCTAGTATATGTGAATGCGGAAGTACATTCATGTACAAAGTACTGGGAAGTGTAAAATCCTTAAACATTATTGTGGGCATTTTGCTGGAAGAGCCATATGAAAGGATGCTTTGGGGTAGCAATAAACAAACACCATATTTCAACATTAAGAGATCTCAGAAAGTTTTGTTAGCTAATAGAGGTATTACACTAATATGAATTCTGAGGTCCTAACCAGTTAGTTTTCTATATTATTCTGCCAGTTCCATAGGCAAACTACTACAGAAGAATCAAATATTCAATGGACTGTAGAGGACTTGTTACTCCAAAATGAATATCCAAAACCGTTTAAGCCATTCACTTGTTTGTTGTTCATTTTTATGCAACATATTAACCAACGATCTGCAATTTTGAAAACAATTAAAACTGGAATAAAACAAAATCTAGAATCTGCATATGGGGAATACCTTTGTTAGGATCAGAAACAAAGAAGCAAACCATGCATACTTTTGAGTTCTCTAGAACTGTGCATCAAGCTAAATGGCAAAAAGTTGAGGAGCAGAAAAAGACTTGGCCAAATATTCGTCTTTATGTTGCAAGCCATAGAGAACTGCAGACAAACTTAGTCTTTGGTTGAGCTTGGTGTCAAAGAGGCACAAACATACTGAATGATCTTTACTAAACTATGTTTCTGCAATGTGTTTTTGCATTTTAACACCTCCATGCCATGAGGGAGCAGGCCGGATAGGTGGGACTCCTTCAGCCCTGGAAGGCAGCCCATCTAGGAGAAGGAAAACTCTGAATTCAAACCCCCACCGAGGCACCACCATCGTCCTCCATGCCATGAGGGAGCAGGCCGGGTAAGAAGTTATCTGAGATGGCAGAGGATCTCAAATTAACTGCTACTTTCAGTTAAGTGGATCTAAAAGGTGATGGGAGATACCTCCATTTTCATGGAGGCTACTTGGAGAGACAGAGTCAAGAGGAAACCACAGGGTACAAGGGTAAAAGCAGCTTCCTGTAACAACTCCACAACCCTGTTTTCCAGCAGAATTTGACTTCTGCTAAACCAGAGCTAACCTATAGTGTCTGCTCTCAAGATAAAACAATCTCTCTCTTCTCTTTCCAGAGTAATATGATTTGGTTGTGGTATTCAATTAAAAAGAGCTATTTCAGATTTGCAATTAGATAATCTCATTTTAATCAATCAAGGCTCTCCACCCTACTCAGTACTTGTAACTTTTAGGAAAGAAGCTTTAGAATTTCAAGTTTCTCCTCAAGACTGCAAAATGACCTCTACTCTTCAACACACACTTTCCTTCCTATAAATAAAAAAGACTTGAGGTTTTTTTTCAGTCAGAGCCTTTTCAAAGAATATTAACTGCATCTGAACTACTCCAGAATTTGTTGTTCTTGAAATTATTCTACTTCATGCATACTTCTGCCCTAAAGGAGATTACCTATGTTTGAACAGAAGTGCATCTTCACAATGATATGAGATGTTTTGCTTTAGAAACACATACAAACAAACAAAACACACTGCAGCTTCTTGACAAAGCAGCCTAAGCACAAAAAGAAATACGAACAAACCCACTGTGCCAACCATGTAGTAAAAGGAGCTGCTTTCAAGGAAGTTATTTTCTGTGATACTAAAGATAGAGTGCAAAGTGAACCGACATAGAAGTACTGTAACTTGTTTTTTCACTCCCTACCAGACAATCAGTGAATGTATCCAAAGTAACATGAAAACCTCATCCACAGGATGGCAGGCTGACACACTTGACAGTAAATCCATCAGGGAGGTTTTTAAGAATCTAACAATAAAACTATCTTAATAGTGTCTGAAAGGTAGAGATATTTTTAGAAGAATTGAGCAATGTGCTATTTTAGTCTCTTCAATGCCCAAGCCGTGCAGTTCCATGGCTGGCAAACTAGCACAAAAAAGCGTGATACTTAGTAATCAAGTAATCCAAGTTACAAGCTTCCTCTGCAGAATATTTCTATCTATCTACCTACCTATCAATCAATTTAAAATGTGCTAAGTGTTCATGTGGAATACAGAAGCAATGCCTTTTTCCATAAAAGGAAAAAAGTATTTCTTCTCCATTGCAACCTATACCTGAAAGAAATGTGTTCACTTTCTCCCATCCTCTAAATATATTCAGTATATTTTTGCTGCAAGAGAATGAATATATCCTCCAGTTGAAAATATAATCATTAAGTTTACCATGTACAGAAAAACATTAGTACAAGTTCTGCCTTCTACTTTTTCTGTTTTACAGCTACACAGAAACACATTATAATAAAATCATTTTTAAAGAGAAGTCCTGGTGAATAGGAAACAGTGGGTATAACACAATTCAACGTTTCAGCTTACAATGAAAATGTTTTCAAGTTGAGCAAACACTACCGAACACAGTGTACAAATGTGTGCAGCAAGAATTCCCACTGCATTAATTATTTCACTATTTATCATGCACAGTAGCAATCAATTCAAAGAAACAGTCAATGTGTTATTAATGGTTGCAATGCTATCTTGTAATTCAGGCTATATCAGCAAAGGACAATTTGGGACAAATTACACATGAAAACAGAAATTCAAAATAGCTTTTCCAAGAGTTTGCTATCTCATAAATAATACCTACTGCACTTTTAAGAGCACGAGAAAACCAACAAGTCATCCTAGATTTTCCAGGTCCTTGTTGCCAAGATCAATGTGCCCAACATTCAGCTGCAAGGAAAGTTGTATGCCGAAGTCCAAAAAGGCCACCCTTTACAATCCACAATACTGCCACCTTCCTGAAATCAGGTAGGCCACTCTTCTCTTAGATTATCTCTGGTCATTTTCAGAGTTTTCTTTAGACTTCATAATTCTTGAAAAGAATTAACAGCCTGTAGAGGCAGCTTCTCTGACACTTGGGAAGGAAACCCTACATCAACATGGCTTGTATTTTTACTGCTTGTGTGCTCAACTACCACCTCAGCAACTCAGGCACAGTAAATATTACCCTGCTCCAAAATATTCTGTAAACAATATGCAGACAGTCTCACACCAGCCCAGAGCTATTTTTTGATTTTCCTGGTACTTGATAGCTAACTGATTGAAAGAAATAGCTAATAATACATACAGTGCATGCTCAACCGGTGAGTAATATGTCACTGTAAGCCAACAAGGCAAGAATGCACGAACTGATCCTGCCACAGCCAGACAACGCCAGAGACTGCCAGCAACCAACATGTAATAAACATGTTGTATGTTAACTTTGAATTAGAAGTTTCCAAGAAAAGTCACCAAGTTATCATAAAATAGGTAGGATGTCCTGTAACTAGCAGTTTACAGATGTTTGTGATTTTACCACCATATGATTCCATCAAGCAGAGCTCCCATAGAAATCTGCCTGGAATTGAAATCTATTCTCATGGAATAACATTTCAGATATTAGTGCAAGAGATACAGAATTCCATTCCTTTATTTTCAGTTTAGACAAGACACATCCTCAAAACACCATCTTTTTCATAATCAGATGACAGTGAGTGTAGCTTTTCCAGACCAAATGGTTCAAATGCAGTCATAAAACAAAACTGACCCTTCCAAACTTTTACTATACTGTATTATGTAAAGTCTGAAAACACAATTTGCTACATTGATCCTTCCTCTAAAATTCTTACTATTAGTTCAGGCTCTCTGATAAACTCAGGCATTGTTTTTCCCCTCTGAAGATATTTGTTTATTTAGCAAGCTAACTCTAGCTCTTCCAACTCATACCCACCCCCTATTGATCACTCTAAATATTTAAAAATATTTTGAAATAAAAGAATCCCCATGTTCAAGTCACTTGGCTAAATAAACTCCTGTACTGTTTATATTTTGACACAGTTGAGAATCCCACAGTAAGCAGCAGCTCCCCCTGAGATTTCTTTGGATTACTTTGCCCTTGACTCATGAGAGAAGTCATCTTGAGAATCTGTTGCTTTCAAGTAACTCTCCAAACTTAGCACAAAATCTATGTAATTAATCTCATAGTTACCTTGACATGGACATATATTAGTATCTGAACATTGGTATTGCTTTTTCCTTAATGGATATACTTATTTTATTTCAAAACCATTGCAGTCAAAGATAATCTGTTGGTTTTTTATCTGCTGTGCAAGTTCCTGCTTGACCCACAGGATAGCCTTGGCCAACTTGCAGATTCCTCATCCACTTTTCCAGTGCTACAAAACTGGAGTTGTGCTCTACTACCCTTTTCCCCTGAAAATAAGACCTAACCTGAAAATAAGCCCTAGAATGATTTTTTCAAGTTGCTCGTAATATAAGCACGACCCCAAAAATAAGCCCCAGTTAAGTGAGACACGACTAAACGACTAAATGAACGAACGAAGTGAGACCCTGCCGTCCACCCTTGTGCAGCAACCAGAAGATGACCTGACTGTATTTGAATAAATGTACATGAATGAATGAATTTATTGTACGGTCAAAGACCCAAAAATACACGGATAAAAACATTACATAAAATATACAAAACAAGTTATATATCAAAAGATAGCAGGAATATGAAACTTGAATCATACATCTATCTTAACACAACACTTTACGGATTCTTAAAACTGAGAATAAAAACTTAGCCACTGACTGTGATATTAATTGGTTCTCTCCGGACAGCAGAAACTTAAGGTAGTCTGCGGGAGGTATACTAATGCATTTACACATTATTGGGTAGAGGTAATGGGAACGTTCAGACTTATATAAACTACATTCTAGAATGGTGTGTGCCAGGGACTCAACTGTTTCTTCCCCACAGGGGCATATCCTTTCTCCATAAGGAATGTTATTAAACCGCCCTTTTAACAAGGCTGAGGGAAAGCAATTGAACCTAGCCCTTGAGAAGGCAAAACTAATAAATTACATCTCTTAGGCTTCTCTATGGACTTCTTCCTGA